TGCAAAAGGAGCACTTTCTCGCACATCCTGTGCCATTGTCGGCTGTGGACTTAAATGAAAAGGCGAGGAAATTGTGGAAAACATGCGGACGAGCCTGACGTATGTACATACATACATACATATATATGTAGGTGCAACAGCGTGGGATAGAGGGATGCGAAATGCGCAATGAGTTTTCAGGAAAATTAAAATCTTACGCACTCTGCTTGGCAGCTGCAGCAACATCAACGGCCCGACAACTGCGCCAGGCAGCAGAGACAAATGTGAAAGGATAATAAAAATGTCAACAGAAACCATAATATAAAACAGACAGCAACTTATGGCAAAAGCGACTGTAGTAAGACGGTTAAAGTGGTGGCAACGTTGCCAATGGTGGCAGCTGTATCAGCAATCATAGCAGCTATGTATGCGCATACATAGTATGTATGTATGTATGTGGAGCGCAACAAAAGTAAGCTACAGAGCAAATAAATACAGACGCAACGACCGAAATGACGTTGAAACAACAAAAACATGACGGCAACATAGTCATTTCATTTTCATTTAGCGAATACTAACATACATATCTACGCATGTATATATATTTACATACATACACATATTCGGGCATGCATCAGTATACAATCAACCAGTGAAGTAATAATGCCTGCCGTCAGGTTACTCCTTTCGCCTACGCCGCGCCGAACACACCTCACCATTTTATTTTTGAACACAAGCATACAAACATACATACATATGTTTATAAATAAATCCGTACTTCTCCATCTCTGGCCATACCATCTAACTCTAAGCTTAAGCGTCACAACTGACAGCATAAATACTTCACACATCTCCACCTACGCACATACAAAGCAACACATTTTCTTTTCAAAATATTTATATATGCGCACGTTTAGTTAACACAAAAATAATGATGCGTCAAAAATTAAAAACATTCATAAAGAGAAGAAAGAAAATTAAACGGCGAAAAGTTATTAGATATTCTGTTTGACTCAAGCACAGTGGGACCAGTGGACTGGAAAAAAGTAAAAATTTTCAAATAGTTTGTCATGCAAACGAGCGGCCAATGGCGGCATTAACATATTTTCTATACCTCGTACAAAAAGAGATAGTTGTACTCTGAAATGTTTTGCTGAAATAGTGGATCGAGTGCCCTTTGAAAACGCGTGATACTCGCAGAGGGGCTTTTGGCCTATTTCATTCGATTAAAGTTCGTGGAGTCTTCACGTGGGTTTGTGGGTATTTTCATAGCTTAATCTTAGTAGAGCCTGGATTTTGGTTGGTTGGTTGCAGTGCCCCTTTTCAGATGACTTTCTTGAGACAAAGAACCATATTTATTCTCTGATAAATTCACCTGCTTCGTTTGCAGTAGCTCACAAAAGATGCACTAGCTGGCGAACTATATTGTTGCCTGATGCTTTATACATAATACAATAATCGCAAGTTCTGGAAATTCACACAGAAAATGCTTGCAGGTTTCTGATTTAACTTCTAGCTGACAGGACTGCAAGTTCTTCAAGGCGCCAGTTGTTTGCCATGCTTCCCACTATTACTAATACTCCTGCCTTAGATTCATTAGGCAGATTTACAGGCTACGATTTATTTGATATACTTTTTCCATCCCAAGGAAATTCAGAGTTTTCTCCTTCAAATTACTTCAAAAGGGTAGCCCAGTTCTATCGCCCTAAATACGCCATTCTTTAATGAAAAAAAGAAGATATTCAGCTCACTAAAAATTAGCTTGCGCTTTCCGCAGTGGCGTAGTGCCAAGCAGTGCGCGCTGTCATTCTGCGGGGCCTACGTTCAAGCACGGCTGAACCCAACATCTAAAAATAAAAAATAAAAATAATAGTAATAAAAAGTTTTTATTTTTCTAATAGTGATCGTCCCTCGGCGGGAAATGGCAAACCTCCTGTAAGGGCCAATCTATTCATTTGTTTTATCGGTTTTTGATCCAGTCCTTCCTGATAATCCTAAACGATACTGTATGATCCGCTTCCCTAATTCCGCTGTTCACCATCTTAATTCCCTCGTTAACACCATGTTCTGACCGACAACGAAAACACTTTGAAAACGAGTTTTGGGATTGTGCACTGAAGGCTGTTCACACCGGCTGTTAGTGTTTTCGTTGACATTTCTTACATCCTCTGATTACAGTTTTGCTACACAAAAACAAAACCACAATGCTTTTCTCTCATTTTCTTTTTATTAGCAACATCTTACTTTCATTCTTATTTTACTTTGGCCAGCCAATTAACAATAAATCCGAAATGGCATATTAAAGATGATAAAATATGACTTGCACTTCGATAAATAATCGAAAAAAAACTAGTGAAGACACCGATTGGAATGAGTGGAACATGAGTTTTTTCTATTTTTTTATATTTTTTATTTACTATATTTAACATTACATATTTGCTTATTTGGTTACATGTTCTTTTGTAGGTGGTCCCACATATGAAATCCATCAGACATAACATCAATAATGTTAAATTTCGATGTTTGTTTTATTTGTCCTGAAATCGAAAAAGAATCTGTGAAGTGCAGAAAAAAGTGTATTGAAAGTATTTTTTGTTGGAGGATAATAAAATATAAATTTGTAAATAAAGCAAACTCAAGATAACGTCTGCATGACTCCTGCACAACTTTACAACTAATTTAAAGTTAGTTTTGTCATTGCTAATTAGAAGTTAGATTTTTATCGAAATCCCGCAAAACATCTAACTATAAGTTAAGCTAACTATAAGGGTCGACGCATGAACGCAGCCCTTAAAACTTTAATTCCAGTGTGCGCCAATTACCCCGGTATCAGCCCCTAAGCATCTGACAATTATAAATATGAAAACACATAGGACTTAATTTATTTGGGAACCAGCATTAACCATAAAAGTAATGTTAGCCAAGAAAAATTCGATGCAGAAGCGCTCAAGCCAACAAACGCTACTTGGTGTTGAGTAGTAAATTGGGGAGTTATTATCGCTCGACGTACAAAAACCATACTATCAAACTCCTCACATCGAAACTCTCATTTCCGTTCAAATTTTTCACCATGAGCCTATAGTCCGGGAGCCAGCGACATATTTTAGTGACCAAAAGTACAAAAGCTGAAAATTTGTCCTAAGCTTTACTTGGCATCGCTAGTAAGTGAATGGACCACCAGCTGGCGCACTTCCGGGGGGTGTAGCTGCGGCAGCCTCCCACACACGTAAAATAACAATAAAAAAAAACTAATACCGCAAAAGCTGAAACTTTGTTAATATGTTTATTATGTTATAAATAAATGAAAAAACGTGTCCAGCCGAATTTAGAGTGGGGGATTATGCTCCAGCTTTTCACGTAAAGAAGTGAAAAATATGCGCTGAGTAAACTGATACTACAAAAGCTGAAATTTTGTAAACTAATAGTTAAATTAATAACTTAAACGAAAAAAAACATCCAGCTTCAAATTTAGTGGGGGAAAAGTGTCCAGCTGATGCAGTGAAGGATGCTGCGCACGGGTATGCGCTCGGGCGCGTCGTATCTTTGACTGCATCGGCTGGACACTTTTCCCTCACTAAATATAAAGCTGGATATTTTTTTCGTTTAACTTATTTAGTCAACTATTGTATTACCAAATTTCAGCTCTTGCGGTATCAGATATCTATACTTTTCTCATTAAACACAGCGTGCCGTCCATACAGTTATTATACTCACTCACCTGTTTTTGAATTTAAAGTAAATATTTACACATTTAAATATGTATACATAACATAAAAAGTAAATATGCGGACATAAGAGTGCCAATAGTAAATATATAGAAAGCCACTTTGCATAATACTGAGCCAAGATTGAATATGGCAGTTTTACCGAATATTATAGCCCAAGCGACCGAAACTTCTAGAAGCGGACCGCACGGCGGTGAGTCTATTGTATCTAATATTTCAAGGCTCCTTTCTCCCCACCACACCGTCCTCAGATTCGGCATAGAATTCGAGCAGATGAACAGCTGTGAACCGGCTCTATCCCCTCTCCTACTAAAATTTGGATGCTCTGTCTTTGTCTCTCCCGCTCTGCTCCGAATTTGCCAGAGTGACGCCAAGCTATCCAGTGCGACCGTTGAACTTGTTCAAATCGGAGCTGCCACAATGTCTAACGTACATCCCTTTTGTGTATATTGCTCCAAAAAAAAGCGGAAAATTACATCTTTTTGATGCGGCCAAATTAAATAAGTGTTTATCGATATTAAAAATTCGGAAAGACGGTGATTTGACTTTCTCCAACGTTGTGTTGCCGGAACAGCCGAACAATTTTCAAAGATACCACAGCCAGTGCCATAACCGTTTTACAGCATTACCGCCTAAACAACGAGGATATGATCCCAAAAAGCAGGCATCTTCATCTTCAAGTACAGAGTAAGTACTTATATTTTTGTTGCAAATAGTATTTTTTTAATGAAATATATACTTTTGGTATATACCTAGCTATATAGCTATACAGCTATATCAACGAATATAGACTTCTTATACACTCTAAAAAAATTTTGTTTAAATTTGCGCATATTAAGATAGGTAACCAGTTTCCTCTCTAAATGAATGCAAATTTACACACCGTGTTAATTAAATTAAACACTGCTTGTTTACTTTTACTTATCATATGTGTGGCGTAGAACAAATTTCAAATTTGTTTGTTGAGTTCTAAACATTTATTGTTCACATTTTCACAGTTTACACATAAAATGTTTAAAATTTGCTCTAAAAAATGTTTGTTTAAATTTACGCATATAAAGAGAGGTAACCAGTTTCGTCTCCTAATGTGTGCAAAATTAAACACTGTATGTTTACTTTTACATGTAAAATTTGTCACGTAGAGAAAAATTACATACAAAGTGTTTAAAATTGAGTAAATATGAGCACTTAATGTTTATTATTAGTAAAAAATATATTTTTACTTCAAAATTTTTTACAATTTTAAACATTTCATGGGTATATTTTTGTGTATTTTTTAAACACCTCATGTTCAAAAATTTTTATGCATATCTTTGCAAAAATCTCTAGATATAGATAAAGTTTTAATATATCCTCTAACGCCAGTGCCATTATCAATGTGTCACATGGATGGATCTATTTGCAAAACTAATAAGGCAGCTCTATTAAAAGTACTCGAGCAGCAGATTGAGCCGCATACTCCGGAGCATACTAACGTGAAGGTGTTCGATGGATTTTTTATGCTTCATTTGATGAGGGAAATTCCAGCTACTTACGGAAACATATCTACTAAAATTTTAAGTATGTTTTGTTCTAATAATGCGGAAGTTGTAGTAATCGCCTTTGATAGGTACATTTTTCCTTCAATCAAAGATAATGAACATTCTTTAAGAGGAATGCAAGTCACACAATTCCACATCGAGGGACCAGATCAAATACGTTCTTCTGATTTCAGTAACGACTTGAAAACGCTAATTTTAAAGAGGCGTTAGTGAATTTTATTATACAGCACTGGACACTTGATCACGCAGCACCTTTCATTGGCAATAAAACTATTTATATTAATTATGATCAGTGCTATAAATATAAAGTAAATAATGGCCATGTAGAAAGGACACACGATGTTTTATTAAGCTGCCCAGCGCATGAAGAAGCGGATACGAAGATAGTTTTCCACGTCTGTCAAATAGATTACGACGCACATGTCACGATAAGATGCTCGGATACTGACGTGGCCATTATAATGCTTTCTAACATGAGTGCCTTAAGTAACGCTGATGTTAAAGTTTCAATGGAAGCCGGAGTCGGTAATAATCAGCGCTTTATTAACATTAGCAAGTTGTATGAAACGTTGGGCCCTAAATTAAGCGCCGCGCTGCCGGCTTTCCATGCATTGACGGGTTGCGACTATAATCCGTCATTTTTCAAGAAAGGAAAAAGCCGGCCGTATAAAATTTTACAAAACTCAGAACGTTTTATCGATAGTTTTATCAAACTAAGCAACGCACCTGACGACGAGTTGCAGAATACGTTTGATATTATAGAAGAATATGTTTGTCGTATGTATGGATTCAAAAAAATCAACAAAGTCAATGAAGCACGAGTTGCAACATTTTTGAAGACGTACAAGGTTTTACAAAACGATGACATATTCCGGTTACCGAAGAATAATATCGACGGATCAGCTCTGCCTCCCTGCAAAATTGAGCTGCACCAACATTTGCTGCGGACAACATACATAGCAAATATTTGGGCACATGCTCATATTCAGGTTCCAACGGCATTACATCCGACTGATTTTGGATGGGAAGAAGATGAGGGAAAATTCAATTTTAAATGGTTCGAGGGTGACCAGCTACCCGCTACCCTTGGTGATATAACTATCGATGATGGCGATGACCAAAAAAGTACTGAAGGTTAGAATAATATTGATATATTTTTCTCTCATTTCATTATTTGTCAGTTTCAATTTTTGATTATTTTCTGTTTAATTTTATCATACAATTTTAATTTAAAAATAAAACTGAGTTATATTTGTAACAATTTTGGATAGCATGTCACCTTTTTTTTGTAATTTATAATCAGATTTGAATTAAAATTTTGCTCTTGCGTGTTAAATGTTTATATACTATTATCATCTATATCTTTTAATAAATTATTATTATATATGTTTACAGATCCTGACGAAGATCTTTCACGGGTCGACATCGCTGTCAGTGATAATGACAGCGATAATGAGTACGATGGCGATGAATCCGAAGAAAGCGAAATTTAAAATATTAGCTATTCACGTATTAGCACACTATGTATATTTATTTTGAATTTTAGTATGCTTTTTGTAAATAAATAATACATTTTTAAGTAATTAATAGTAAACCTACTTTTTATTATCCTCCTTTAGAGCAGAAAAGTTATAGGTATCTATCATCCAATAACTGCATGGACGGCACGCTGTGTTTAATGAGAAAAGTATAGATATCTGATACCGCAAGAGCTGAAATTTGGTAATACAATAGTTGACTAAATAAGTTAAACGAAAAAAATATCCAGCTTTATATTTAGTGAGGGAAAAGTGTCCAGCCGATGCAGTCAAAGATACGACGCGCCCGAGCGCATACCCGTGCGCAGCATCCTTCACTGCATCAGCTGGACACTTTTCCCCCACTAAATTTGAAGCTGGATGTTTTTTTCGTTTAAGTTATTAATTTAACTATTAGTTTACAAAATTTCAGCTTTTGTAGTATCAGTTTACTCAGCGCATATTTTTCACTTCTTTACGTGAAAAGCTGGAGCATAATCCCCCACTCTAAATTCGGCTGGACACGTTTTTTCATTTATTTATAACATAATAAACATATTAACAAAATTTCAGCTTTTGCGGTATTAGTTTTTTTTATTGTTATTTTACGTGTGTGGGAGGCTGCCGCAGCTACACCCCCCGGAAGTGCGCCAGCTGGTGGTCCATTCACTTACTAGCGATGCCAAGTAAAGCTTAGGACAAATTTTCAGCTTTTGTAAAATGACTAACCCTAAACTGTCGCTGGCTCCCGGACTACTACTTAAGAACTCAAAAAATGGACCAAATAGCAACAAAAGGATCCTCAGCGAAATATAATTTTTGTATTTGATTCTTGCTTTCATGCCACTGTATTCTAAACTTTGCCACCGTGTCAGTATGTTAATGTGCCATTATGCACGAAACAAAATGTGTTAATATGCTTTCGTTTTCCCAACACCTTTGCACGAATTTGTATTCATTTGTTGTATGAGAATGTATGTACATATGTATGTGTGTGTGTGTAGAACAATGCAAATATGTCCGTAGTAGGTGAGGACACAATCGTTTCAAAATACTGAAAGGCCTGATTTAGAATTTTAGGTGCTGATATGTAATTTCATGTTGATGGATAAATGAGTGCTGGTCCACATTCCTACATACACATATACATACATACAAATAGTACCTACATATGTGGGTGGACATTTGTGTACCAGTTTCTAATGGTAAACGAATACATATGTATGTATGTACGCCTTAGACCACCCCATTGTATTTTAAGCAGGCATGCAGGAAGCTACATATAAACGACTTATACTTACTTTGTTAATTACACGCGTATTTGGTACGACTCGGTAAGCAACTCATAAAATATCTGCGTAAGAGAAGAGAGTCGGAAGAGTAATTAGAACAACAATTACAGAAAACAGAAATAACTGAGCAGCGGAAAGGAAAGAAAGTGAGGGAACAAAAGCGACCAGTAGACGTTAAAGAAGTGGGATAGGAAAAAACCAAAAATTTAGGTCATTACAAATTATTGCGAAAGCAAACAAAACAGACCATGTGTTGGTAAATATGTTGGTGGCGATAATGAGGGGAGCTCACTTAACGGAAAGCAGGCAAAAGAAAATTAAAATGAAATGAAAATGTCTCTCGATCAACCCGACAAACAATAAAGACAACAACTGTAACGGCTTAGTAACGAAACCAAGCAAGGAACAAAAATCTTTAATCGAAATTTAAATGAAGACATAAACCAGGGAATAATAAAGGGTGTTTTACAGAGATATTTATGTACATACAGAAGGCTATTGACAAAAGCAGCTGTTGTAAGCAAAGGATAAATTGGTTTTTGCTAGGGAAATGCATTAGAGGCACCAATTAAGGCTAATATATGGCTCAATGCAATTGTAACTTAACCTTTAAGATATACCCTTAAAAAATAGCCTTTACTACATATTGCACCGCATTCCAATGTATTCGCACTCTTGCTGGTTAGGTTCGAAGAATTATTAAAACCCTTATTAAAGGTAATTAGCAAATGCACTTAACTATATCCATGTCATGAAAAGGCTCATCTAAGCTCCAAAGAACTTAACCATTATTTTTACGATTTGCGAAAAGATAATTGATCTCTTTTTGACTACCGATTAATAATTTTTTATTAATTTTGTTTGAGTTTTTTCAGTGAAAAATGTTTAAAGAAGTGAAGTCATCCAAATGATGAACGGAATGCAGCCGCTAATTACAAGGCTGACTTATTTTTTTTTTTCTTAAGAAATATGGGCGGGTATGGCTTGAATATCTACGATACCCTCCAGCGCCGCCTGGGGCGTTGAGCAAATTTCTGTCGTTATGCATAGGATTGCTTGCCGTTGCGCCTTTTGCAACCTCTTTGGGTTACGTGCAACTGGTTACTTGCCATCGCAGGCAATTGCAGCTGCTATTGCCGAAACCTTCTCAACATCTTGTGAGAACATTTATCTTGCAGACATCAGCCAATTGAGTGTCAGCGACTCTGGAGGCTTAGCTGTTCCGCCGGCAGACGAGAAATCATCTTTCTTCGTAGGAAAACTGCTAACACTTTCAGAGGGTGGCTTGGTTATCGCAGCTCTTTTTTTCGCTGCTATTCGCCTTTTCAGAGTCAGTGGCCTCTTTTTCCGAAGCATATGAAGCTTTCTCCTCACGAAGACGCTCATACTTGAGTAAGATGTACGCATACTTCTTCTGAACCCAGCATAGTAGTAAACTACTGCTCTTAGGAAGAGTGAAGAAAAGATACAACTGATATAAGTCTTTGATAATCGAGGTACCACAGAGTACTTCTAGCAGAGGTTGAATTCAGGTAGAAAACGCATTGGTTATAAGCGCATAAGGGACACTGTCTAATTAGAATGCGGCAGCAACAAATATAGATTCGTAGTCAATCCGTGGCGGACATTTGGAAATTGAGGAAAGTCAATTTTCGTTCGCGAAATGCGGTGCTTTTATTGTATTTGAATTTACGCTTACTCCATAAGCTAAAATAAGTAAGTTCAAGTAGCCTTTTTTTAACTTCTTCGACAATAACTAGCGGCGCTTCCAGGAAGTTATTTCGAGAATATTATCCTACTACGTGCATCATTTACTACAATCAGAAAAATTATAAAAACGAAAGTAATAACTTAAGTGATTTTATTAATTATGGCAGCATTTAGTTGTCTGGAATTGAAAAAGGAAAGACAAAAAGGAAGAAAAAGGGAGCAATATAACAAAACAAAATTGTAAAAGGTGAAAAACGTAGCAGAGTGCCGTAACGAATTGCGGGGAAAAACTGAAAGTGTCGAAAGATAAAAACAATAAATACCTTTCTGCCCAGCAAGCCAACAATGCACACTAGAACATACTTTAGTGAAAACACTTTCCAATTAACTTAACATTTTTTTCATTTGTGTGAGGCAATAAAGCAAAAACACGAGCGTAAAAAGAAAATGAAGTGTTAGTGTTCTTTTGTTTTTTATTGGTTACATGTGTGGCAGCGATGCTGAAGTCTCACCAACAAATATTAAGCTGGAAAGCGCAATTTCTTGTGAAAATACTTTTTTTTTCACAGTTCTCAAGATTTATCTTTTGTTCTTCAGTTTTCTACTGCCTTACCTCACTCACTTTTGTGCATCTAACGCTTCTAAGAGAAATTTCAAATATTCCAAACTGCCGATTGAAATATGCCATTTGTCTTCGCAACACATACACTCGTGTCTAAGTGCACAAGCGCTCACCTATTCATATACACCTTACAGGTGCTTGCTGTCAGTTCTATGTATGTATACAAGTGTAGAAAGTATGTTTGTATCGTCGTGCCACTTGCCGTCCGCACATCACCATTTCTTAACACTTTGAAGCTCGCCAGGTCGCCAGCTCGCAAGTGTGTTGAACATCGTTGTAGTCGACTTAGTGCAACACATATTTTCATTTCATGTCAAATTGTTTTAACAACTTGTAACGTTAATATTGGCAGAGGTAACAGATGTCAGACGTGGGCCACTGATCTCGGCTTTGATCTCATCCCAAAGGAGATTTCAACGTTTCGGACGTAGAGAAGATATGTCGAAGAAGCAGCTGCTATTTGTCACGGCTTGCCACCAACACATCTAACACGCATGTATGTATGTTCGTGTAGTTGTCTGTTTACCCATTTGGGCGGGCTGTCCAATTTGTTGCACAATCGCTTTTCTTGTCAAGTTAACTAAACAACTGTGTCAGAGTGTTCTCAATTGTCGTATATATACCCATACATATGTACATATACATATTTGTATTATATTTACGTAAGCACCATGTGGGGAAAGTCTCTAGTTCTGAACTGGTGCGCTTCTAGTACATTTAGACCCAGTACTGATTCGCGATAAATCTCTTTTATATGCAAAAAACTGGCGAATTTAACATGGCGTTGTCCTGGAAAATGTAAATTGCCCCCCGCTGCATCCTACAAGTCTCATACGAGTTTTATTGGAGATCAATTAGTCTCGACTCATACTTTATGGGTATAATTGTGGATAAATTATTCCCCGACCTGTCTCTTACGGGTAGAATTAACGATTTATGATATAGAGGGACTTAGTCAACGAAATTTCATGTCCACTTTGGCACGTAGAGATAGTATTCGTTTGGTAAATAAATAATTTTATTTGGGTATAAAGAGGAAGAATTGGTCTTTTCACGGGCGATCAGTTCATTCCATATGAAAAGTTCAAAAGTTCTATTAGTCGCATGTTCCTTCGCGATTGCTCCCCGAGTCATGCCGGTTTAGTTGCATTTTTTGCAGGGTCTTTTCGTGCGTTTGTGTGTTAGTGTTAGTATGCGTGTGTGTGCCAGCACAATGCACAAATGGCGTGCCCAATATGAAACATGGTCAGGGTTACGACGCAATGCAACAAAAGCAAAAACTACCACAACAACAACAACAACAAGCACTACGCAAGACAACAGCTGCAAACAAAGTTGGTCATCTATGCACATATATATGTACATAGATAGCTATAGTTAGTAATTGCCAATGGGCATCACCACTTTGTCACTATAGTCGTTGTTGTTTTTGCAGCCTAAGGAGCAATGAAGTGACAACATGAAAGCAATAACAACTTAGAA